GAGCTTTCATCACTTGCTACATCTATTACTTTATAAAGAGAGCTTTGATTTGTAATATCTGTCCATTGAGGGATATATCGTACTTCGAACTTTCAATCTTTGAGATTGTTGTACATGGGTTGGCGCAACCCGTGAAGTCTAGATGGGGTGCTCACTTAGCAAAGAGAGACAAGCTCAAGGAGATTTGTAAAGGTTGCTTTCCACCTGTGAAGGGAAGCTGCGAAGGTTTTTCGGCCTGTGAAGGAGTGGTATAGTGGATTTTGGAATTCTCAAAAGGTACTCTTGGGGCATGGAGGTAGACGGGGTCCCAAACCACATTACGACTTGGTGTCCTTGTGTTTACATTTCTCTCTCTCTCTCTTTACATTTGAGTTTTGCATTAATACTAGCATTTCTATTTGCTAAATCTAGTTTATCTTCTGATGAAGAAACAAAATAGCACATTAAGCTCACCGCTCTCCCAACTATAGTACTAGATAATAGAGAACTCAAAACAAATACCAAGTCTCCATCTCATTGAATTAATTAGAACTTCATCTATAGAACCTTGCATTTGATCTAGACATACACAGTGTACATGCAGGTTCATGATAAGTTGAGGAGATCGTTCCACGTTTGTCAAGAATGTTGAGATCAGAGTCTGAATAGAGATCCAAGCTAGCACAAGGGATTCTCTTGAGAAGAGATTGAGAGAGAAGGCAGGTTTGCTGAACACCCTGAGGTAGCAAGTCTTAGAGGATCATAATTTCTAGTCTCTAGTCTTTGTTATGGTGTCTATATATCCATGTAAATGATCAGATTCTATGCCTATTTATACTACTACTCATTTGGGTAAAAGACCCTTTGGCCATGAGGGCTAGCTCCCTCTTTAATCAATGGTTACTTTACTTAACCTATGACGGATTAGACATCGAGCAGGTGGCTCGAGGCACACCACTGCCCCTTTTCAAGGCGATGGTTTACATTTAATGCGGGTCTTATCAGTCAATCAATACATTGTATAGTCTCTACTACTCGAATTCAACTATTGGGTCTTATGTATTATCTCCCCCTTGTGTAGACCTAGAGGTAAGGTGATTCCTTGGAACTCAACCACCTAACCATTGATTCTTACATTCCCACGATCATAAAGGGAGGGAGGATCAGTTAGATCTTGCCTTCTTTGATCTCAACCCTCCACACCATATCCAGATAGTCGAGCTCCCTTAGTGGTAGCTCGAAAATGTTAGTTGTAGTTAAGTTTTCAAAACTCGACCCATGATGGAGCCAAGTAAGTAGAGAGAGAAAGCACTTCAGAGTTTATCCGTAGAGAGGAATATTTTGAAGGAACACAGAAAGGAACCCATCCAATAGGAGGTTTCCTCTATGAGGAAAAGAGAAAGGCCAGTGAGCTCTCTCACAAGGTAGAGGCTCTTAAAGTTGGCATTTGTGTGATTATGTTACGTTACGTGGACCTGAGTCCGTTACACCATGTCCGTGACTGCCGACCATGATAAGGATAGTTAGGATGTTGTAGTCGACTTTGGGATTAGGATGTTTCATGCAATAATTTTTTATATATCCTTGGTCAAATAAGGGAATTTTTTTATTTTTTTTTTAGTCAAGTCCGTTAAGGGATATTTTGGATGCTAGTATTTATTTTACATTCATCACAAATTTTTTTTTTTTTTTTTTTTTTTTGATAAGTAAGAATTTTATAAAAAACGCTCAAAGGAGAGCGAAACCCATGGAAACAAGAAGAAAAGGCCACAAAAAGCCTCAAGCCTTCAAAGAGGCCAAAAAAATAACAATCTCCTCAACAGAACGATAATCTCTCCCTAAGACCCAACAAAAGAGAGTAGAAATAATAGAGAACTTAAGCATAGAAATGGGTTTCTCCTTGCCATCGAAGTATCCCCGATTCCTCTCAAGCCAAATGCACCACCAAACATAGAGAGGGGTAGCCCTCCAAGCATCCCGGATGAGCGCCCCAACAGAGAAACCTCTCCAAGCCTCAATCAACCCTCTCAAGGAACAGGGCATAACCAAAGGGACCCCAAATAACCCAATCATCATATCCCAACAATCTATGGCCATACTGCAATGCAATAGAAGGTGATCCACTGTCTCCTCATCGCGACAATACAAGTAACAGCAATTGATAACCACCTGTTTTCTCCTCCTCAAATTATCCTAGGTAAAAATCCTACCCAAGACAGACGTCCAAGCAAAAAAGGCCACCTTAAGGGGAGCTTTGGAACGCCAAATAGCCTTCCAAGGGAAAGTGCCACCCTCCCCATCAAAAAGGCACCTGAAAAAGGATCTCACCTCGAATCGACCCTGAGAGTGTGGACTCCAAAGCCAACAATCAGCCTCCTCATGAGAGATCACCTAACGATACTGCAACTCCAAAAAACAAGTGACCTCCTCAATTTCCCAATCCTGAAAATGCCTCCTAAACTGAATGTCCCAAGTTAGTCTTCCGTTATCAAGGTGATAACAGTCAACCACCAAGGCCTGCCTGTCAGAAGCAATCCTGTAAAGCCAAGGGAAAGAGAGAGCAAGGGGAAGTTCCCCACACCAAAGGTCTTCCCAAAATCTGATCCTCCTACCATCCCTGATCCTACAGCGAACATGATTATGAAAAACGTCCCATCCCTTTCGAATGCAAGTCCAAACCCCCACACCCTTAGGACCACGCACCTCAAGAGAACACCACCCACCACTGATTTCCCCAAACTTGCTGGCAATAACTTTCCAAAGCCCTATTGAAAGGCAACAACCTTCGAATCCCTAAACCTCCACTCCGAAGAGGACGGCACACTTGCTCCCTTCGAACCAGATGATATTTGAACTCCTCTCCTCTCCCTCCCCAGAGAAAATTCCACTGCAAACTCTCAATTCTCTCCGCCACCGAAGAAGGAATCTGAAAAAGGGAGATAAAATAGGTGGGTAGGCAAGAGAGAGTGCTCTTGATCAGAGTGACCCGCCCCCCTTTAGATAGGTACTGCTTCTTCCAACCCGCCAGCCTCTTCTCAAATCTATTCTATCTACCACCGGATCCCAACTCTCCACACATCTCGAAGGAGCACCCAGAGGCAAACCTAAATAAGAAATAGGAAACGAGCCAATGCCACATCCGAGGATTTGAGCAAACATCTCAATATCAGGAACATCCCCAACCGGCACTAAAACACTCTTTCCAACATTCACTTTAAGCCCAGAGACAACTTGGAACCAAATCAAAACGAATCTCAAATGTCTCAGCTGGGACGCATCAGCATCACAAAGAACCAAGGTATCATCTGCAAACATCAAGTGAGAAATCTCCAACTGACTAGCAACATCTCTACCCACCCGAAAGCCTCTCTACAATCCCAGATCAACAGCTTTTTCCAACAACCTGCTAAGAGCCTCCATCACAAAAAGAAAAAGGAAAGGAGAAAGTGGATCCCCCTGTCTCAAGCCCCTCGAACTAGAGAAAAACCCCATTGGAGCTCCATTCACAAGGACAGAAAAGAGCGCACTAGAGATACAAAAAAGAATCCATCTCCTCCATCGCTCCCCGAACCCCATCCTCTCCATCAAGTATATGATTATGTGTCTTATGTTTGTTTCTCCATTTTAATATTGCATTTTGGTGCATCATGTATTGTTGCTCGTCTCAAATTACCTTTAAAATATTCAAAAAAATAAAAATAAAAAACCCATAAATATGTTTATTGGATTTTGGTATTAAAGGTTGACATCTAAAATAGCTACCTCCACGAATATTACATATTAGTTAAATTTTCTTTATATTAATTTTAAAAGCATTTCTTCTTATCCTTCCAAAAATGGCTGTATAAAATATATTCATTAGTTATAAATAATTTCAATATTTTCATCATATACAGAAATTTTTTTATGAAATATTGCTTGGTCGCAACTACAACAATTATAATGTAGTATATAACACATATTTTCAACTTGATAGCATGATAGATCAAGTGACCAGGGCACTAACTAGCATGGATAAAAACATAAGACATTACCATTACATGATACGTCAAACCGTCAAATTCTTGAAAAGTGCAGTATATATACATATTTATATATACGAAGGGTCACTACCAATGTGATCCCTGTACATCAAGTGTTATAGGAGAGGTAGACTCGATACAAACCTAACCTTGCATTAATATGCAAAAAGTGGATGGTCTCAGGATTTGAACTCGCTATATACATTTTATTTAAAAGTAAATATATACACTTTGTAATGTTATACAAGATAAAATTCATGTCTTGATTATGAATTTATATTTTATATTAACATTTCTATAGCTTGGACAATGACACTCAACAAATATCCCAACAATTGTACTAATACCATTATATACTGAATATGTTATATGGTAGTTATTGACGCGGGTAGCTAAGAAGGAAAAGCACAAAGTGTGCACTCTAGTAACTTGTAACTATGTTACTATCAAGGCATTCAATTTGTAACATGAACTGCAAAGACATAATCAAAAAGGAAATTAAAACCTTAGATATTAGTCACTACATACTCTCTGAAAATATAACAGCCATACACCCACAATAACAACGTGAAGAGCAAATTTCACCAATAGGAAATTGTTCACATTCTCGTGGCACCTCATTTTGAGTTTAAACTAACAAAAAGTGGCATTTGTCATGATAAATGATACTGGAAGCAGCATGGCTTAGTCATTGCTAATATATAACTTTGTAGCAACCAAAAAACATACACGAGATATTCTCAATTCAAAAGATTGCAGGCATCTATTATTTTCATTTTCTTGCTCATCTAAAAGATAGTGAATAGATCAAAAGAAGACAACCTAGAACCGTAAGCACTAACACATCATTCGAGATGTTAAAAGAAATAACGGGAGCACAAATAAAGAAACCTGTACATAATTTGAACAAAGACTTCTATCCTAAAAGATAAATATACATGTCATGCAATACTGATGTGTTTATATAACATTGCATCTTTGGGAGAAAAAAAGAAATACCTTCCTGGAAGCAACTGAGAACTGCTTACAGGACCCTTAGAATTCCCAAATCTTTTGGTCCTGTTTTCATGTTCTTTCTCCACACGAATGGCAGCTACCTCCTTCTCCATGGCAGCTACTTCCCTTCTCATCTTTTTGGCCTCAACCTCCATTGCCTTAGTCAAAGTATCTACCTTCTTTGCTAACATCTGAAGAAAAAAGATTCCGTGACCATACATTTAACAATAGGCACCCGCAATCATAAGCTCATCAAATCAAGAAATCAACCTCAATAGCATCGTCCTTGTCTTTAAGGCTTTGATCTTTTTCATGACCAGCTTTTCTCAGAGCAATCACCTCTTTCTGTAGCAAATCATACAATAACCCTGCGACAGTGTCCTCTGTATCCACTGCCGGGAAGTCATTGGGTTTTTCGTCTGGACTTTCTTTCCAGGGAGTGTGTCCCTCACTGTCCTTTGTTCCTCCACAAGACTGGCTGAGGTTAAAATTTGGACTCATTCCGTTTAAGAGAACTTTACCCCTGTCTAATGAACGTGTGCCACCATCGAATGACTTCGATGTCCCTTTTGCATGCCTCAACACTGAACTGCTTCCAGAAGACTGAGTAGATCTCAACTGAAAGGATGGTGATCTCTTTGGTAAAAAACCATTGGAGGTCAATTTTGAAATGTTATCAGCTCCGCCAAGGGATTGTCTACGTGAAAGGCCGTTGTTTACGCTTTTTCCCTCTGATATGCCACGACTAGTGTTATTTGAGGGTCTCAAAGTCTCTTCTAGTACTCTAAGCCTCAATTGGTATTTTTCCTAGAAAGTAGAAGAAAAAAGTTTCCAATATGTAAATCAGTGTCTAAAACATGTTAAAGAGATTAGATGCCTGCATCTTTTTAAACCAAAATATACCTTCAACTGAGCTTCATATTTTGCCGTTCGCTCAGCTATGGCAAGCTTATCTCGGAGTTGCTGCATATCTCCCTGTCAAAGCAGGTTGATTCAGTAACTGCTAATACTACAAAACCGAAAAATCAATTTCAGATTACAAAACTAGATACCTGTAAGAACCTTCTTTCATCAAGCCATTGTTTTACGGGCATCACTTTGTCATTCGCATCCTTCCATTCATTAGCTACCACTACTGCCACCCTGTTTGCTGTCACTTTTGCACGGGCTAGCTCCCTGTCAAGAGTTTTTCTTTCCTCCTGAAGAAATAAATAAATAAATAAATCAAAATCAAAATGTACTTCCAAATTTGAGAATTATCTACAAATCATAACAGAAAGTCGAATGTAGATAAGTACAAAAAAATTCTTGAAGGTTTCAAATATTCATGGTGAATTACATTCATCTCTTGAACTTTGCGTTGGTAATCCCTCACAGCATTTGCAGCTGCACCACCAGCAAGAACGGCCTCTTCAAGCTCGCGTACAGTTTGGGTAAGTTTCTCTACCTCAGCAACCTTTTGGCGGTGCATTTTATCCAAAATTTTATTTTCTTCCTGATACACATGCATCAAACGTATTAATCCTTTCTGATGAACACTAATAAGAAAATGTATGCCAAATGTTTGATTCCTCGAAAAGAGAAACAGCATGAATGAACACAGAACACCTGGCAAATTTCAATCTGTTTCATCAGCTCTTGGTTCTTATTCTGCAGATCATCCACCATAGAAGCCTTAGCCAATGCAACCTGAACAGTCCTCTCAGCTTCAAGTAAAGCAGCTTCTTTTGATTTTGTGAGGCGATCTAATGCTTTGTTGTCATCCTGTAGCTTTGCAATCTGGAGAGGACCAAATGTTGAATCAAAAATTAAACCTCTTCTCATCTACTACAAGGAGTTTCTTTTTGTGACAAAATCACCACTAAATGTCCAAAGATGAGTCACAAATAATACCTCCTGTCGAGCAAGTTTTAGCTCAGCCTCAAGCGGTGCAAGGATGGCTTCAATTGGAGGAATGTCATCATCCTTTTGGGCAGCATGAACCCTTCGAAGAGTGGCTTCTGCCGCAAACTGAGCTGTCATAGAGGCTCTCTTTTCATCATTGATTTTTTTTATCTCAAGGTTCTACAAAAAGGAAAAGAAAATGTTTTTAAATCTCACAAAGTTAGCTCTATATAATATGAAAAAATATATCAATGTTTAAAAGAGATGCATGCAATACTTTGCTTTCTAGAAGAGATTCTGTTAACTTGAGCTTCTCATCCACCTTTGCCAATTCTTCAGTGAGCTATGGTATAAAGAGAAGACACAGAATAACAATATCAGTCACATTTAACAAATAACTCCGGAAATATGGTTTTAAAATTACAAATAACAAAAGGGAAAAACAATTCACACGAAAAAAAGTGAAGAACCGACCACACTAACCATAGTTGCTAAAGGTGTGGACAAGCACCAAAAAAGCCTAAGGTGCAATCAGAGCCAAGCTTAGCACCTTGTCTAAGCCAAGACAGACAAGACACTTCCAAGCAATTAAGCATAAGGCGTAGAATGAGCCTTTCAGTCAAGCTGGTGCCTTTATCCAAGATGCAAGGCTCCAAAAGACACATATCTGCTAATTTTTTTAATTTTTTATCAATTGGGACTTCTATCAGCCATTTATTCAACCATCACACTAGGTAGCTCAATGCTCTACAACAGAGATCCGGCAAAATTCTCTTTCTAATTGCACTGGGGAAGAAAAAAAGAACACAGTGGTCTGTCTCTATATTCCAAATGATAAAAGGCAGTAATGAAGAGGATAAGCCAAAACCAGAACATTAGTAAAAATGGAATCAGACACAGTGGCCTTCTATTGATCTATCTGTCCAACCCGTCAGTATCTGTTCCTCTCTAAATTGTTGCTCTATGCTCTGCTTTTTCCTAACAAAGTTCAAGACACCCCCTTTCTCTCTTCTTTTACAAACAAAACCCTCTCACGTTGCTCTTTCCAATTAGCATGCTGTTGGCTTGCAATTCTACTGCTGTTTTCTTCTGGCCCCATGCTTAGCATGATCGTTTGATCACTAATTGTTTGACTAAGTTGGACTTTTCGTTTTGTCCATGGCTTCATGCATTGTAATTGCTATGTCATGCTCTTTTCAGTTAATTGTTGTTAGTCTTGTAATTATTTAACATGCTTTTAAAATTTAGATAAACATGAATCTCGCAAATTTGAAATGTAATTTGACTTATATACATGCTCAAGGCAAGGAATAGCCTAGATTTTTCAATTTCCATTAACCTTATTATTATAAATTAGTAGCTTTGATTTAAAAGGGAAGAAAAAAAAAAAAGAGCAAAAAGCAGATGATTACATGGACATTGGGCTAACATTTCTGATTGTGCAACACAAGAATTACCCTAAGGGAACACAGTAGAGCAGGAACAACCTAGCCCATAAAGAAAATTCAAGGAAATGAAAATGTCATAGGATTTGAAGGAAGATCTGTCTGCTGCTTCAGAGGAATTGTTGGGATAAAAATTAATAGGCAAGAAATTTCTGTACATGCAAACTGCAAAAAAAATAAAAATTAAAAAAAGAAGAATAAAATCTTCCGTGAAAATGTTATTGAGACTAAAATTTAAATCTATCATCTGCAAGACATTCTGAAAATCTATATAAAAATCAGACGTATATCATGTGCAATATATTCCCCCTATGAACAGAGGAGTTGCAGCCTTGGCTTCTCAATTCCACAACACAAACCTATAACAACAAATTAAGCATGTTTAATTTGCCACCTAGCAGAAGATAGATTTTAATCCTGTTACTGTTTTTGACATCCCAAAACATTGACTAATCGATTCACAATCATGATTAGCAGAACAAGTCTGACAGGGTGAGGCCAAAATCAAGTGCAAGTGATGAATTGATGGGACATAGAACAAATGGAGTAGATGTAACAGTTCAAAAGAGCTGACAAATTGGGAACATATAATCATTAACATGGTCAAAAAAAAATATTAGTGTATCTCCTCCTCCTTCCAAATGGAAGGTTGAGGCCTGAGGACTCAAGTCGCCAATAAGATAATAATGGGTTTGTGATTCGAGTCCCCAATAAGATTATAATTGGTTTGTGTGTGAGAGAGATTTACCTACCCAAAAAAAAACTAAATTTTAGTGGGCGAGGACAAAGAAGCATCATAAGATTCAAATACATACATCTAATATTTGGTATTGATATTTTCCAAGTCCACGAAAAAAAACACTGTAAACTGAAATGCAGTAACTCATCAAGGAAATGTCGATTCTGAATAATACTAGAACGTCAAATGAAAATAAAAAATAAAAATAAAAATGAAGATGCGTTATATATGTGTGTGTGTGTGTGTGTGTGTGTGTGTGTGTGTGTGGTGTGTGTTGATATAAAGATTAAAGAACCTCTTCGACGGCCTTTTCTCTGAGTCGTTCTGACAACTTCAGTGCCTTGATCTCCGCTTGCGCTTCCCCTAATTCTCGATCCTTGTCTGGACAAACAACACCCAATATTTGAAACCAAATCAACTAAAAACACATCCAAATTCTACCCAAATCGGACCAATCGAGTAGCTTTCTTACCTCTGACTTCATTCTCCAACCGATTGAGCTCCACCTTCACCGGATCCGAACCGTGCAACAAATTTAAGAACTCGTCCGCGTCCAAACTCGGCCGGACCGAACCTCGCCGCCGCAAACTCCTGCCCTCCTTGAACGATCCCGACACCGTCAGTGGCGGCGTCCCGATGGCAGCCCACGCTTCATTCGCTGCCGACGGCCGTACATTGCCCCAGCTCTCCCCGATACTCAACTCCAGCCCCAAACTAGCCGGAGACACACCATCTCCGTCGCTGGAAACCTCCGCCATGTCAGATCTGACGCGCTATTTCACATCAATAACTAGAACTGAACTTTCTGAAAGAAACTATACATAGAGAGAGACGAGTTTTAGAAAGAGAAAGCGAAATAGTAGTACTCCGGTGTTTGGATAGATGAGAAAACGCTTTCGTCTCTCCCTACCCTTTGCTTTTAGTTTCTCTCTGTAGAGCCTAGGCACTGGTGCGTTTAAATCTGCATCGTCTCCCCAAGATTATGAGTTTCTCTCTCTATAATGTTATTTTTAGTGAGAGAAAGAGAGATATTAGTGTGCATGTTAGCTGTTTGATTATGAATATTATATTCTGTTAGCAAAGACGCTTTGCTGTTAATCGGACACTGTTGTGTGATAGTGGAATGTATTAGTAGACTTTAAAGTTTAAACTCTTTCGGTTAAAAAAGGGCTAGACTCTATCATGAGCAGGGTGCGCGGTGCGCGGTGCGCGAACTACCTGCAAATAGAAAGACTTGGGGTGCGCGGTGCGCGTACTCCCTTCGAAAAGGAAATAATGGGTGTGCGTAAGGCGCACACTTGCGCTTTCTAACAGCCTCCAGATTCACTTTTTGTTCGAACGTCCCACGTTTCGTGTCCTCTTTTAAGCTAATTTTGATATGAGAAAAGTTACTGTGAAGTGCACTTCATTTTAACACCATGAGCTCTTTGTTTTTTACTTTAATTACGGGTGAGTTGAAAAAAAAAAATCAATTTAGTTTTTAAAATGTACAAATAACACCTTTTTATGTTCAAATTCTACCATGTAGTATGTAAAGTGAGCAAACAAGTCATTCTAACACTAAAAAGTGACATGTACTGATCAAATGACCAAAAATATCTCTTTAATACCAACTCTACCCTTTGTGTATTCTAAAATTACCCCTTCCTCAAACATCTTTTTTAGAAGGATAAAGTGCAAAAAACACCCATATAATATGTTTACGGTGCATATTACACCCCTCACGTGCAAAAAACACCCCTAAACTATGACATTTGTGCAAATAGGTCTTACTCACACATTTTATGACTAAAATGTCCTTAACTACACATTTAATAATATTTATAAAAACATAATACTTTGTGAAATGACTAAAAAGGGTAGCCTAAAAAAAACCCCAAAATCTATACACCCACCAGTTCGCCGGAGGAAGAGAAGACAACTAGAAAATTGATCAACCAAACAACAACCAACCACCAATTTGCAACCCCAAACGTCCACAATGCAACTGTCACACAAACCCACCGAAAGCACAACCACCCAAGGAGAACGACACAAACGAATTGCGACCGCTACCAGCAAGACCCAACAACCCGCCGGAGACGAATCCCAATCGGAATCGGACTCATCATCTGAAGCCGTAGTTCACAACCCATCGCCGGAATCACGACTTCACTAATTGTTGTTCATTGCCATCGCCATCACCCGCCGAGTCTCCCTCTTGCTCGTCAGCCGCTGATCCAAGCTCACTGCCCTCGTGAACCGCCATCAGTTCCGTCCAAGTTCTCCTTGATCGCCGTCCGTCTTCATCCTCGCCGATCCGTCACCGCCTTGCCAGCCGCAAGGCCACTGTCGTTCAATCCCGCTGAGTCCTCCTTCTTGCTCGCCACCCGCAGTTCACCGGTCGACTTCTCCACAGCCGACCTTCCATCGCCGGTCAGACCATCACGGCCGAGCCCTCCACCGGCCTAGCTCACCACTGCACCAGCCCGTCTCCACCGGCCAAGGTCGTTGTCGTCGTCTTCGTCTCTCCACCATCCGAGCACTGCCAAAGTTCATCCACAACCCATCTTGCCCACTGTGATGCCAAAGGTTGTGAGATCGAATGTAATACTTTTTAGAAAGCAAGAGACATTGGGGAAATCACTTTACTTTACTTCTTATCTTTCCATTTATTTGTCCTCATTAAATCCAAGAACCAAACTCGCTAATAATTGTTTCAATTTATTTTCTTTCACCCCACTTGTGTGTATAATCTCTCCAAAACCGATAATCACAAACCAACTCACAATTGTAAACATGATTGATGTAACATAATTGGGCCTATTGTGATCTGAATTTGGTAGGGGCATTTTTGGTATAGTAAAAGGGTAAAATGAGCATTATATTAGTTGAGGGATATTTTTGCACAAATTGAAATGAATAGGGATTTTTTTGCACACCATTTTAAATAGGAGGTAAAAGTGCTTTGAAAGGTATACTTAAGGGGTATTTTTTGCACTTCCCCCTTTTTAAAAGGGTTAAGTGCAGCAAGCACCCCTAAAGTTTGCTTACAATGCACATCGCACCCCTCGCGTGCAAAAAATACTCCTAAAATTTTAATTTGGTGCAAATAAGTCCCTCTGACAAATTTAAACCCTAAGTTAAATAAATCACCCTTACTAAACCATTTTATAAAATATATAAAAATAAATAATTTTATAAAATGATCGAAAAAGACACTATTGAATGATGCCCCTCTCGTGCAAAAAACAACCATAAAGTTTCAATCTAGTGCAAATAGGTCATTCTCACAAATTTAAACCCTAAGTTGACTAAATTACTCTTACTGAACTATTTTATAAAATATATAAAGATAAACAATTTAATAAAATGACCGAAAATGACACTATTGGAAAACGCCGATAATAGACAAGTAAAGATAAAAATATAAAAGAAAAGTAAAGATAAAAATAAAAAATAAAAAATAAATTAAAATACAAACTTAAGAAAATAATTTTTTTCCAAACTCTGAAAACCAAGGCACACTGATATTGGGAATTTTTTTTATTTTTTTTTGTTTAACAGTGTTGGTGCGAAAAAAAATAAAATAAAGAAAAAAAAAATAGTAGAAAAGAGTAAACTGAATTATCAAAAAATTCAAATCATTATTCTACAGATTCTCAAAGTTTTTTTTTAAAAAAAATGTTTAAAGATATATATAGAGAAAAAAGTTTCAAACAAAAAATATAAGATAATATGCACATATTACTCTTATATTATGAGATTAGTAGCATATATACTCCTTGGACATTTTCAAAAGAGTAAAAGGGCAAAATGGGTATTACAACACTAATTTATGTCAAATGGGGTATTTTTGCACAATGTGAAAATATTAGGGGTGTTTTTTGGACACTTTTTCAGATAAGGATAAAAATGTTACGCAGAGTATACTTCATGGGTGTTTTCTGCACTTAGTACCTTTTTTAAAGAAACAATAAATTTTGATCATTAATTAATTTTTTTTTTAAAAACAAAAAATCATTAATTTTTTTTTTTATAAAACAAAGTATCATTAATTAATTTTTTTATAATACAAAAGAAGAGTAATGAAATAGTGGTCTCTTCAATACTATGGTCTAAGCTAGGGCAACTCAGATGCCTAAATCAAAGCTTGCTTGAAAAACTAGAGTACTCAACGGGTGAAAAGTTAGGAATCCTGAATACATTGGTCTCTTGCATCTTTTCTTCTGCTCTTCAACAAAAAATGAAAGTAGTAAACAAATTTGAGATCTAATTTGATGAATTATGAAATAAATTGAAGTTGAAAGTAGTGGAAATTCCACAAATTCAATTTCATCATGTATGTATTCTCAAAAAAATAATATTGTATATGAGGGCTTGATAGTCCAGCAACTTCCACTGTGACACCGTGAACTGCGGCCGAACTCTGCCCTGACCACCATCGGCCAGTGATGACGATGATGCACTTATGTCAAAGAGTCTTCATTTTTTTCTTCAATGCTCAGTCAAGGCCTCTAAACAGTGCATCATCGTCATCCTCTTTCTTATCGTCAATGTCGGAAACGTCAATTTTAGATATTTTCACGAAGGAAGCGCTGAAACAGGTGATGTACATCCCACCTCCTTCTCCAACTCAGCACAAACCTAATTTCTTTTCTCCATTGAAGACACCTTGATAACATCTTTAGTTACATGCACATGTACATATATATATATATATATATATATATATATATATATATATGTATGTATGTATGGGAAAAGTGTAAAAAACACCCCTAAGTATGCCTTTCATAGCATTTTTACTCCCTATTAAAAATAGTGTGCAAAAAACACCCATATTTTTTTTTTAATTTATGCGATAACACCCCTCAATTAATATACTGCCTATTTTACCCTTTTAGTTTTCCAAAAATGCCCCTTGTTGATTTATTTATTTAATCAAAATGCCCTTACTAAGCCGATCTTCTCTGATCAATTCCCAAATCTCTGATCTCCTATGATCATTTTACGGAACTGATGGCAGCGAGCAAGAGGGAATCTCGGCGGGTGGTGGCGATGGCAGCGAACAGCAATTCCGGCGATGGGTTGTGGAAAGGACTGGTTCAGCTGTGAGCTTGTGACGCCTCCGTCTTTATCTCTCTCCCCAGCAGCGCCTCCGTCTTTATCTCCTCTGTTGACCTTAAGGATTTCATCCATTGACATCTAGATGTTTTGATGATAACAAATCATTAATGGTGTTTAAGGACTAATATTTATATTGAGTATTATAGATTATTCACATTCAAAGAATAACCTCAATGAAGCTATAGAGATCATTCCAAGTATTCCATTATTCAAGATCACATCAAGGAAAGCAACGGATACAAATAAGACTTGAGGTTGCAAGAAGCCAAATGCAAAGTTCATCCAAAAATAGTTTGGACTACAACGAGGAAGAAAGCAACTCAAAGAAAGGATGAAAGCAAGGGTACCTCAAAGCTTAAACGATCATGAACAAAGCATGATGAAAGGGGTAGATAGGTTGGTGAGTGTTTAGGATTCAATGTCAAGGTATTTATGAATCAATTTGAAGCTCATCTCTATAGAATCATGCATATCATCATTATCATTCATATATTCCTATATTCATTAGCAATAGAGTATGCACTTGATACATATATATTTGCACACGAAGTCATTGCTAAAGAATGAGTTAGTTAAAGTTTGCTTAAGCTTTGAAAGACCTCATCACTTGTGCTAGAAATGTTAAGACCATGCATATCAATTACATGATTCACTTTGGTCTCTAGAAAATAAATGTTAAGGCTTAGAATATATTTACTCATTTATAAAGCCTTCATTACAATGACTTGGTAACGGACTTTAGGACCCAATATCTGCCTGATGAAAAATTGTCTTTTTGGCTAAGTATAAAAAATGGCTAAGTATGAAAAATGAATTTTTGAAATAATGATTATTTCAAAATAATTTTTCCTGGTAATAACTCTTTATACTTCAAATAGCCTAAACTGATTTTATGGGATTTTTTCATCCATTCTACAATGGTTTACATACGGATTCATT